TTTTTTCATGATTTTGGACGACATGCTATACTATGACTATTTTTTCATGATTTTGGACGACATACTATACTATGACTTTTTTCATGGTTTTGGACAACATACTATACTATGACTTTTTTTGTCATGATTTTGGACGACATGCTATACTATGACTATTTTTTCATGATTTTGGATGACATACTGTACTATGACTTTTTTCATGGTTTTGGATGACATGCTATACTATGACTTTTTTCATGGTTTTGGACGACATGCCATACTATGACTTTTTTTTTCATCATATTGGACGACATACTATACTATGACTTTTTTCATGGTTTTGGATGACATACTGTACTATGACTTTTCATGATTTTGGATGACATGCTATACTGTGACTTTTTTCATGGTTTTGGACGACATACTATACTATGACTATTTTTTCATGATTTTGGACGACATACTATACTATGACTTTTTTGCCATGATTTTGGACGACATGCTATACTATGACTATTTTTTCATGATTTTGGACGACATGCTATACTATGACTTTTTTCATGGTTTTGGACGACATACTGTACTATGACTGTTTTTTCATGGTTTTGGATGACATACTGTACTATGACTTTTTTTCATGGTTTTGGACGACATGCTATACTATGAATTTTTCTTTTCATCATATTGGACGACATACTATACTATGACTTTTTTTCATGGTTTTGGACGACATGCTATACTATGACTTTTTTCATGGTTTTGGACACATGCTATACTATGGCGTTATGACAAAGCGTCATAGTATAGCATGACATCAAAAACCATGAAAAAATGTCATGGTATAGTATGTCACTTTCAAGAACTCACTAAATAGACAAAGACTGAACTGAGACTGGAAAATATGAAGGACAACAAACACAATGGGAAAGGGGGACATAACCAAAGTTTTATTATTAACAGAAAAAAAGAACCAGACTTACAACTCAAAAGTGGGATCAAAAGAGGGATGGAGATCCTGGCCGAAAAGAACAAATGATGGGGATTTGCTGGGCCAACCACGCAGTGGGCGGTCAGACCCAGCTCCTCCCCCTAAATATCGAAACTGAAACTAAACTAAATAAAACCCGAAAACTGAACTGCCTGTAACCTCCAATCTAAACTAAAATAACAAAGCCCAACCACCTATTCTAGGAAGGGAACAAAAGAAAACACGCGTTTCCCCAAAATCCAGTGTTGCTGCTGCTGCTGCTGCTGCTGGCAGTTGCTGGCAGTTGCTGCTGGGTGCTGGTGACTGTGTCTGTGTCGGTGTGCCAGCGTCGGTGTGTGCCCTTCACTCAGCCCCTCAGCTCCTTTTAATACTGTCCTCTCAAATTACTTTCAGGTGTTTCACTCCTGTTGAAAGACAGGTGAGGAGGAGCAAAAGAGAGAGAGAGCAGGAAGAAAAAAGGCAACCAGCACACCCACTAGGGTGTGCAATACAGCACAAGCAGACATGACCACACGAAACAGTCGTCCAAAATCGTGACCAAAGTCATAGTATAGCATGTCGTCCAAAATCATGACAAAAGTCATAGTATAGCATTTCGTCCAAATTCATGACAAAAGTCATAGTATAGTATGTCGTCCAAAATCATGACAAAAAAGTCATAGTATAGTATGTCGTCCAAAATCATGACAAAAGTCATAGTATAGTGTCGTCCAAAATCATGACAAAAGTCATAGTATAGCATGTCGTCCAAAATCATGACAAAAGTCATAGTATAGTATGTCGTCCAAAATCATGACAAAAGTCATAGTATAGTATGTCGTCCAAAATCATGACAAAAGTCATAGTATAGTATGTCGTCCAAAATCATGACAAAAGTCATAGTATAGTATGTCGTCCAAAATCATGACAAAAGTCATAGTATAGTATGTCGTCCAAAATCATGACAAAAGTCATAGTATAGTATGTCGTCCAAAATCATGACAAAAGTCATAGTATAGTATGTCGTCCAAAATCATGACAAAAGTCATAGTATAGTATGTCGTCCAAAATCATGACAAAAGTCATAGTATAGTATGTCGTCCAAAATCATGACAAAAGTCATAGTATAGTATGTCGTCCAAAATCATGACAAAAGTCATAGTATAGTATGTCGTCCAAAATCATGACAAAAGTCATAGTATAGTATGTCGTCCAAAATCATGACAAAAGTCATAGTATAGTATGTCGTCCAAAATCATGACAAAAGTCATAGTATAGTATGTCGTCCAAAATCATGACAAAAGTCATAGTATAGTATGTCGTCCAAAATCATGACAAAAGTCATAGTATAGTATGTCGTCCAAAATCATGACAAAAGTCATAGTATAGTATGTCATCCAAAATCATGACAAAAGTCATAGTATAGTATGTCGTCCAAAATCATGACAAAAGTCATAGTATAGTGTCGTCCAAAATCATGACAAAAGTCATAGTATAGTATTTCATCCAAAATCATGACAAAAGTCATAGTATAGTATGTCGTCCAAAATCATGACAAAAGTCATAGTATAGTATGTCATCCAAAATCATGACAAAAGTCATAGTATAGTATGTCGTCCAAAATCATGACAAAAGTCATAGTATAGTATTTCATCCAAAATCATGACAAAAGTCATAGTATAGTATGTCGTCCAAAATCATGACAAAAGTCATAGTATAGTATGTCATCCAAAATCATGACAAAAGTCATAGTATAGTATGTCGTCCAAAATCATGACAAAAGTCATAGTATAGTGTCGTCCAAAATCGGGGAAAAAAGTCATAGTATAGCATGTCGTCCTGTGTTTCTACGTGTTACTGAGTTTGTTTCCTTTCTTTCATTCTTTATGAACCATTTTCTGTCTTCAGGTTGGTGAACAGCTGCAGCTTATTCCAGCATGCACAAGTGGAAGGCAGGGAGACACCATGGACGGGCCTTTAGTCCACCTCAGTGTCCCCACAGATGGACACATTCTTACCTGCAAGTGTCTTCAGTCCACCGACCCTGTGGAGGAAACCATCAGAGGGGCTGCAGACAGGAATCAGACCTGTGACCTCCAGGATGTCGAGGGTGTTTTTAAGATGAGATGGAATCTCTGAGTGACTGTAGGTCAACAGTCACAGTGGCTAAAAACTAATTTTTACCACCTAAAAACAAACAACTGAATCTCTGAATTGAAACTACAGAATCTCCAGAATTTGCACTGCGTTCAAATTTACGTAACATTAAAAGCAGCTTCGATCAAAACGCAGCCACATGAAACATTACCCAGATCATCAAGGTTGGCGGGCGTAGTCAAGTAGCATTTACTTTTTTCTATGAGACAGTTAAGTGCCTGTAAATGAAACGTCATGTAGCTCTTGTTGAATTAAATTAACACAATTCCATGTTGTGATAATGCTTTTAGAAATAGCTGCCTGTAGGCTCAGTAAGTAATCAAGTAAAATCACCTTCAAAGGGAAAATTACATGTTCAATGTCCACGCTCTGCACAGTTCTGCTAAAAGTATAAGTGGATGTGAGTTAACACATCTTTGTTTTAGTGTTGAGGTTTGCTGACGCTCAGCCCACATCAAGTCGTATAGAGTTCTTTTATGTACAAACTCTGAAACATTATTAGTGGTTTAAACTGTGCGGTACTTTCTCATGAGAACAAGCAAAAACTAACCAGTATCTCTGAATATAATTCATGTTTAGATAGAAAAACCAAAGACTGCTGTGGAGCGACACTCGAAATGTTATCTTCATCAGTTCATACTGCATTAGGTTGTTAATATGTCCTTTAGCGTGTACAGTGTGTGTACAGTGTGTGTACAGTGTTGATGTTTCTGTCTCTCACTGCAGAGTGAGACAAACTACAGATTGTTTTAGGATGGTGACGTGTATTGACTCTAAACACAGGTACTGCAGCTGTGTCTGTACCTGATACTCCACAACTGAATGTGTTTCTCTGTCCTGTGTTGGGCTGCACCGCCTCAGTGTTCAAACTGACAGTTATATGAGAGCTGCGCAGGGTGTTTGAGGAGGAAACCCTCAGTGTTCACTACTGGAATGTTTTTGTATTAAATCTGAGCTGAACCCAGCTACAAGATTAAACTATTGTCTATTTGTTCAAAGTATCTCCCTCATATTTTTATTTCAGTATTGTCCAATCCCAACCTGTGAGAGTTGGGGTTTATTAGAACAGTCAGTTTGGGGGTGTTATGGACCAGTTCGGCCTCTAGGGGCTGCTAGTGAGACTTTTAGGCCTCTTAACTGTGTCCCAACTTTAAACTAATGCTAATGTCTACACTGTTGACATTTAAGTTGCCTCCAGGTGTCAGATTTAAAGCTTTAATGCACCTGCACTACACTGTCTTTGTGTTCTTTCATTATTCAAGTTATTTACTACATTTTTCTTTTTGTCTGAACACGTTGAAACTTGAGTAGCTGGCTTGGTTTCTTTCAAAAGAATGGGAAGAAAGCAATGAGGAAAAAGCAAAAAAAAAAAAAAGTCAATAAATTAGTAAAAAAAAAAAAAAAAGAGAGAATTTAAAACAAACTAGAAAAAAAGAGAAAGGGTTAAAAACAAGGAAATGACCTGTAAAAAAAAGGAGCTTAAAAAATTCTAATAATTCTGTAACATAATTTTAAATATATATTACAAATAGTTCTTAACACAGTTTTTTCCCTAGCTTTTTAAAAATATTTTTCTAAATTTAATTGTTTTTGCAATTTGTGGAACATTTCCAACCAAGTTGCTCATTGCCTTTTCTACCCACGTTTTTTTGTTTGTTTTTTTAAATTGAACAAATTAGCTCAGGGTTCAAAGGTTTAACTATTTGTAAAAGGCATCTGAAAGCAGCACAACACAAGTGATATTCCTCCAGGTTTCAAGGGGTTAATATAAAGTATCACTATCCACATTTTCTTTTCTGGCAGTAAGAAAAGGCTTTTCATTTCAAGAGCTCAAAAACAAGTTGATTTATTCTACTGTATTTCACTGACGACTTAAACTTGGTTTAAAATTGGGACACAGTTTAGTTTTTCAAGATTCAAGCACTGATAATGGGAATCTGTATTCACATGTATTGCTGTTCATATTGCAGCTATTCTCTACACGGTGCAGCCCTGGTTTCTACTGTACATTCAATCTTTACTACTTTTGCTTTCATTGTAAAAATAGTTACGAGTATTTTAGACTGTTTACGAAAAACTGCTTTTTCTGCCTGACCTGAGTTTGTCTCCAGCGGAGGATTCTCTCGTCAAACTGTGTTTTGGACTCAATAAATCACAGGACTTTGTCTCTGGCTCATTTTAGGGTGACGTGCAATGTTAAAGGTCAACTCTTATTCTCTTAACTCTTATATGGCTTCATTCCAAAATGCAACACGACCATGATGGATCGAAGTCTCTGTACTGTGAAATGCTCTGAATTTAAATTCTCTCAAACTGTCTTAATGCTTAGAACATGAATGCATTTTTGTCTGTCATCATTTAATCACAAGTTGTCTCATTTTGGAATGAAAGTCATTAGTTTTGTGTGTATTTAATGTTTTTAAGTTTCAGAGCGAGACATATTGTTGTTCTGTATTTAAGTTATTCTCCGTGACCCTGCTCTGTGCTGTCTGTAACGGTTCCTCTAAAACATTTTGTCTTATTTGAAAAGCTCTGAGAGACGTCAGCCGTGTGTCCGACACTCGTTTTGTAGCAGCGGAAATTTTTGTATCTTGACTTTTCATACCTGAGCAATCAAACTGCTGAACTTCAATAAAATTAACCAAGAACTGTTGAAAAGTGTTTGTTTTAATTTACACTGTATTGAATCCACCTCAAGCTGCACTGAGATGACTCTTTTTTATTGCATCAAACAGCAGTATAGCATGATAAATACAGTATCAGATTTACCCCTGTGGAAAAAAGAAAAGATGGAAAGCAGTTGTATGAAATGGTTCCACTGGTGAAAACACAGCAACCTGCAGGCTTTATTCAAACAATGTGCCGATGGCTGTGAAGGTAAATGCAGTGCTTAAGGCCGTCGATGTCGAGCACACAAAGAATGAGTTCGTGGAAGAGTTCAGCAAACAAATGACCTGATGACACATCACAGATTTCTGAGTGTTGAATTTTGTTTCCCTTTATGAATTTGTCAATTCACATTCTGCAGCAGAAAGACCTGCGTTAAAGAATAACTTGTGATAATCTGAGTTGTTACTGTCAATAAATAACACGAAAAGACCAAAACCAGTAACGAACTGATCCCACTGGCAAGTATCATGCGTCCAAAACCTTCTTCGAAATCTTATTTCTCTCTCTAGTTTTTGTTAAGTCAGTCTCACTTCCAACATCCTGCTGCCCCAAATGTGTATTTATCCGCAGCTGAAAATAGTCCCTAATAAAATGCACTTTTAAGCTATTATGCCTTGCTGTTTTAGAAAATTACTGAACCTTATTTAAAATGAAATTTATCTTTGTGAGCTGTTTTTAAAGGAACAGTTTGACATTGGGCACATGGGAGGAAAAAACTTGCTGAGAGTTAGATAAGAAGATTTATACCCGACTCTGAAGCTGAAGCCAGGAGCTTAGCTTAGCTTAGCTTAACTTAACATAAAGACTGGAAGAACGAGGGGAAACGGTTTGGCGAGCTTTGCTCTGACCAAAGGTAACAAAATCTGCCTACCAGTACCTCTCTTGGCCGGACGCAGCAACTTCCTAGAGTCGTGTCGTCATCGTGAGTTTACCAGGAAATCAGAGGGACTCGAGGACGTCACTGCTCCAGGCCAAGAAAGTGTCTAACATGACGTCCTGTACAAAAAAAAAAAAAAAAAAGTAATTAGAGAGCCTTACAGGTACTGGTAGGCAGATTGTTGTTTCCAGTCTTTATGCTAAGATAAGCTAGCGGTCTGTGGTATCAATCCCAAACCGCTGGTTCTCAAACTATTGTACATGTTTGAGTACGTGAGCTCCCTCTAGTGGTTCAGAAGAAAAAAAAGAAACATGTAATGCTATCAAAACACACCATTTCAAATTAAAATACATAATCTAAGAGGCTGTCGAGATGTTATATCAAATAAGTTTTGCCTTTCCTGTAATATTTTTGCTTTGATTTAAGCCTGCTACATGATCACATTCATGACCGTAGCATGTGCATACGTACATAATTAGTTGCGAGTAGAGCTGCAACGATTAATCAACTAGTCGATGACTAATCACCTATTAAAATAATCGGTGACTATTTAAACATTCTCGGAACCCATCGGCTGTATTCGGCGTCTGACTTCCGGCAGACGGCGATACAGCCTCTGGGGGCAGACCCCCGATTTTTTGGCATTCCGGTTTGATTTGGGCGGAGGAGGCGAATTTCCGTTTCCGATTTCCGTTTATATACAAGTAAATATGCAGAACCATGGAGTCAGAGTTCGCAGTGACGCCAGTTCACCGCACGGACCGTTTAACCTGACAACAACTGCAGCCGGCTCAAACGTGATTGGTCAATATCATCATCGGACTACAAACAGCCTACAACCGGAAACCAGGGCTCTTACGGTCTTCTTCCGGAGGCAAGATCTCTGGGGTTTGCCTACAGACTCAACATTCACTGAATGTGGAGTCTGTATATAGAGACTACTATTTTAGTAGTCGACTAATTGGTTTGAGTCATTTTTCATAGAAAAGTTCCCCAAAATACTCTTATTGCAGCTTCTTACATTCAAATATTGGCAGCTTTACACACTCTCCCATGATGGTGAACTCAATCCCTTTGGCGTGAGTACGAAACAAGATATTAGATGACATCATTTTGGGGTTTGGGAGAGACAGACCAACATTTTTCAACATTTTAACACATTTTTCGATAAAATGATTTGTCGACTAATCGAAGAAATAAACGACAGATTAGTCGACAATGAAAATAATTGTTAATTGCAGCCCTAGTTGCAAGCTAAACTTTGATGATACGATTGTAAGTGAGGTAAAATGAATGGTTTAAAAACACTGAAATCGAGGCTCCAAACGGGAAATGTTGGGGGAAAGAAGTGCGCATCAGGAGGACAATATTTCAGGCAGCTTTGTTAAAAGTGAAGTAGACGACAATCAACGCTACTGTACTTAAACGTTGCTCATACATTCATTCCTTTATAGAGTTACGTCTTCAGTAGGAACCAATGGGCTTGGGTTCTAAGAGCCACTAGTCTTTTGTAGCCAGACCTATCTCTAAAATTGGCTTCAAAGCCCCGGCACACTTCCTGGGAGCCTGAGCCTGATGGCAGGCTTATAGCCACAGTCTACATCTAGTGAGTCAGATTATAGAGCTGCAGACAGGAAGTCACAAAGTACTAAAAGTCGGACAAACATATTGTCGGTTGTGGTCTTTTTCTTGGATTTGTTGACAGTAACAAAAGTTATATAGAATACCATCAGCCTGTTCCTTTAACTCATCACACACTTCCCATTTATTCTTCAGCATAAATAATTCTGAAAATGTTACATCACCTAATGTTAGGAGCTCTTAACACTGCTGAGAAAATGGCGGTACAGCTTGTGAGTTCTTGAAGTGGTCAAAATTCTTAAAACACAAACCTAGACTAGTGATCTAATGTGGCTTTGTGTTTCATCTCTTCCTTATTTCTAACAGAATTTGTTGAACTTAATAAAAAAACAATATTAACAGTACTTACCTAGAAGATTACTGTTAGAAAAAAAAGGACACAGTTAAGAGTCTAAATTTAAACCTGACCCAATTAACTTTTACAGAAGTACAATAAAATTCGATCCCTTCTGGTATTCAAAGTGTAACGCAACACAAACCGCAGCCACGCTGGGCTACGTAAAGACTACGGTGAAATTATGCATAGAGAAAGATCTAATAAGGATAAAACAAAGTGGTTAAGGTCAACTCCCAAACGATTCCACCGACATGAAAGTCCAACGTGGGCCGATTGTGTCGTGGTTTCCGAGGTACTGTGCAGCGAGGCGGAGCCCAGCTCAGATAAGGCTTTGTGGTGCTAAAAAAACATATTGGTAGATCAGAAGGCAAGCCATAAAGAGCTTTTTGCAGCGAGTCAAGCGGTCAAATGTTAAGCTTATAATCACAGTACAATTTATCGAGTGGGTTTTCCGTTCTGGTTCAAACGTCTTTACGAGCGTTAAGATGCAGCATAAAAGGCTTCTCAGCAAAACAGGTACAGCTGAAGATATGTGGAAACATCACTCACACTCCACAGGATTTAGGTTTTTGTTATTCAAACTAAAAGATGTATTAAAAAGTTCTTTTAAAAAAGAGAAGCATTAGGACATTGTCAGCTCTCGGGATTGGTTGAAGATGTTCCCAAGCCAAAAAGAAAAGCTCAGGGGTTATTTAACAGCAACTGGCAGAGTGGGAAGACGCAAATAAAGTCACTGCTTCAGGGGAAAAGGTGCAGCTCCGAACGGGTCGAGGTCCACTGGCTGTGAGGGCGGCGGCGGCTGCGGCTGCTGAGGTCCACTGTGGATGACCATTTCTGTGAAGGGCACTGCCCCAAAATCATCCATGCTGCTGTCTCCAAGAGCGCCGTGAAGGGAGCCTGTCCAGGACTTGCCATTGGCTGCGCCCATGTCGCTCTTGGTGTCGGTGAGTCCTTGATACTGGCCATGCCGGCTGCCGTCCTGAGGATGGAAAGGCTTCGCTCCAAAGGGGTCTAAAAGGGCCTCGTCCACCGGCAGAGAAGCTCCTTTGTCTTTCCCTTCAGCCATGGTTATATCAACACTGATGTTCTCTTTAGAGTCAGAAGTGCTGAGGAACTCGTTGCTGCTCTGCGAGTCTCTCCGGCCGACCTTCTTATGTCTGCGGACTCGCTCAGGTGTGCGGTAAGTTGGCTTGTTGGTCTTGCGGCCTCCGGTCGGCGTACCGTGGTGGCGTTTGCCATTGCTGCCGCCTGCCGTGGTCTCCTGCTTGGTTTTTCTCTGGCGTGACGACAGCTTCTGGAGGCTGCGCTGCTTCAGCCTCTGCTGCTGAGGGCTGGCCGAGTCCTCAAAAGACTGCTGGAAGATATCTTCTGCGCTTCTGGAGGTGGTGGGAGGCGGTGCAGTGGGGCCCGGCTGGAAGGGAGAGAACCCGAAAATGTCAATGCCCTCGGGGGAAACGGGTGGCGTTTGGCCCATGTGAACATCACTGCCACTCTTGCCCGACTTGGAGAGGTTCCGGCTGAATGGCGCTTTGGTAAAAACATCAAATTCGTCCGAAGCTTGCTGCTCATGGCTGACTTGCCTGAAAGGCGCTTTGGCAAAGATGTCCGAGCTTTCTGAAGGCCCGACAGGCGAGGTTCCTCCGAGGAAGGGAACAGAACCAAAAACATCCACAGAATCAGTCGCTGAAGCAGCTCTGGCTCCGCTGGGCGTCTCAGGAGGGGTGATCAGAGTCATGGCAGAATCCTTAGGACTCCTCCTGGCGGCGGCTGAAGCTGCTTTACTGGCCAGAGCTTTCTTTGAGCGGCTCTTGACCCTGCTGGGGTCGTAGTCCGAGTCAGAGCTGTGCTTGTCTTCATCGTCCTCTCCCTCCTCTTCAGAGTCCATCAGCAGAGGCCTCTGTCCAAGATTCTCTGGCTCGGTGTCGTCACCGTGCTCACTGTTCAGGCCTTCTTCCTCCTCCACCTCTTCATCCTCGCTGCTTTTTGGGGAAGGAGGGTCAGACTCAAAGTCGCTGTCGGACTCTTCTCCTGGTCTGCAGCTGCTCTTTTTGCCTGGTTTGTGCTCCTTGGGCGCCACTAGCTGCAGAGCCTCTGTAGAGGTGGATACGAGCGCAGGAAGGCCGACCTCCTCACTGCTCTGCTCAGTCTTTTTCTCATCGGTACCTGAAACAAGACATAAATGCAAGAGTTAAAGATGTTACCAGTCTTCTTGTATTTTTAATCTTCTTTTGAATGTGCATTTCAAGTTTTAATGTCAGTCCCTTTCAGATATTTTTAAGTTTGATGTTTTAAATAACAAGATGAGTGACAGAAGGAGAATCTCGATGCCAGAAGTACAAGTTTTCATCTCCCAAGAACGCCTCTCAGCCCCTCTGACCTCTGTAATATGTGGCTTTACTGAAATCAGGATTACTTGGCTTACGTTTGAAAGTCCACAAATACAAGCAGAAGGAGCAGCGAAGGAGAAATCACAAAACTCAATATGGTCTAAAAGCTGCTCCGACTTCTCTACTCTGACCCTGCAATAAGAAGAGCAGGCTTACAGGCGCAAGAAATGAGACGCCCGGCTTTTCAAGATTTACAAAATTGCTTTCAATATTTAAATCTCTTGGTAAAAAAGACTCAAGCTGTCAGTCACTTCCTTTAGAGTTGAAAAATAAAGCTTTGTTCTGTAGTTACTACTCCTTACTTCTGCAATTCTATAAATTCTTACGCATGTTTGGCATTTGCTGCAAAAATTTGTGCCTTGTGTAAATTTATTTCCAAGAGATTTGCATAATGACAACTTAGAAATTAGCCTAATTAGCGAGTGGATAGCCTCCAATTATATTGAAAATAAATTGTGCCGTACACAATGAGCCAATTTATTGTTCCCTATTAGTGGAGGCTCTATATAATGGAAAGCAGAGAAAGGACCCCCTGCTGTGGACACGAGAATGGAAACCTCTCCACGTCTTCAACCATCCAAACTGGCAGGACGCGATGACACATTAGCCAAAAGCTTTGTTGTTAACAAATGAAACACGGCTGCAATAAAAGATAAAAAGTAATAAAACACATTAATGCAGGAAACACGAGGTGCTCTGCATCTGTTTGCTCCACCCGACTGCTCTGCAGATTATCACTTGTAATCACGTTCACCTCTCAGAGTGAGACAATAGAAACATCTTTAATCAGGAGGGAAGATGTCAGACTGACACACAGATTTGTTTTGTCGCTGTTCCTGTGGGGGGAAAGCTGAAGGATTACACGCCGCGTCTGATCTCTTTAAGATACAGATAAGTGGTGAAAACATGCATGTGATTGTTCTCTTGTCTGATGGAAGATAAAATCTGTTAGGGATGTCTGACAGCAGGAGCTTAGAGAAGTCTCTTCCCTCACACTACAACCACCACTGAACCTAGACTGATTTCATGAAGCTGCACAGAGGCGAGAGACTCTGAACTACAACGTTCCTCGAAACAAACGACTGATAATTTGACTACGTACCTTATCAAAATGATGATTTACAGCCTAAATCTGATCAGCAAAGATTTCAAATCATTAATCAAGCAGGAGATGATAAACATCGCTCAACTCAGCTTCTCAAATGTTAAATTAATTGGGGTTTTTTCCCCCCTTATTGTAAAACTGTATCATTAAATAACTGATGGTGTTGGTCCGATGGTCAGATTTTGAAAAAGCTATTTGATGATGACACACTGAGCTCAGTGAAAACTTCATTTACTTTTTGTTTTCTTTAATATTTTATAGATTCAGCTATAGATCCTAAAGAAAAATCATCAGTAGCTATTCCTTTAATCACATGCCACTGTGGCTGGAATTCAGCGACCTAAATAAACGGACCCATACTTAAAACAGTAGAACACATTTCCTCATCACATGCACACTGAGAGCAAAAGCTGCATCTCTTTGAGAGGGAACTGTTTTAGAGCTGAGGAAAGGATCTAATTTCTATTATTTTATTCCGACAACAAAATTAGAAAAGCAACTTTATAAATTGGGTTTAATTTGTTCTGACACCGATGTACACGGGGGGCTTTTGTTTTTGGGGGGAATGAATGGAAGTCAAACTGTACTCGGTCATAATGTATATGTGAAGCTGTTGAGATGGTGTGTTGTTCTAGATTTTTACACACTGAATCCTTTTCTTTTCAGGCCTGAATAACAGGATGAGAAGGGTTAGATATCAATAAGCAAAGCTAATAATGATCAGCCTGTTTGAAGCCACGTCACTGCAGATGATTCATAGTTGCTCATATAGAAATATTTCAGATGCACCACTCCACAGTGCCACACACACTGAAACTGCTCCTTTTGGGAGTTTTAATCATTTCACCATGTTTTGTGACAAATGTGACCGGCACCAGTCGTGATGAAGGCTGATGCCTGAAACATCCGGCACCCAGAATTTATCATTTTTGGATGTGTGTGCTGTTTTCTGAGTCTTCAGTTTGTTCTAATCTACAGTACCGCAAACAATAGTTAAGTACAATAACATTAAAGGATTTCTTTAAGCAGACTGTTTGTTGGAAGTATCTCAAAACAAGCTGCTCTGCATATTTAATCAATCATACAACAGCTTGATAACCTAATTATTATCATTCGAATGGCAATTTAATTTCAGAGAGTACATTTTTTATTTCGTTTGCTTCAATCATGTTTGGAGATACAGTATATGTCTGTAAAACCCTGAGACAGGTGTATATTTCAGATGTTCTTGCATAAATAGTTGAGGAGTTTTAGCATTTTGTGTCTTGTAAATAGCAAATGACTTCTTTACTATCTTAAACGTGTACTATGCAGGAATTGTCAGCCAGTGGAAGTGAAAGTCGACCCCAGATTTGGCTCATTTTGGACCAAGCTTTGTGTTTTTTCAGCTCTGTGTCTGCAGTTGTCATCGCTTCCTCTTGAATGCTTGTAGCTTACGCTCTGCCACCTGGTTGCAACCTTTTCATTGGGTCCCAACCTCACCTGAGCACTGAGCACAGGAATGTCCCGAAAACAGCAAAATAAAAAAAATGCGAAGAATAAGAAAGTGATGATAGAAGGGATTACTTTTGTATAAGTCTACACATTTGTTTTAAGGAAACCTCTGCATAGTGTACCTTTAAAAAGACGGTCTGAACGGGTCATCTTTGACTGATTGTGTGTTGCAAATTATGCAAAAGCACAAGCAAAATAACACTACAGACAGATAGAAAACAATTACAGATACACATGAAGAATTTCATCCAAATAACGTCATGAAAGCTTTTTTAAAATGTAATTGGAGAAAGAAAAGCAGCCAAATTAAGGCTGGGGAAAAATGTTAAAACCTAAATTAACCACACTGAACTTGTTTAGCATCATGCAGGTCGTGCGTCTCAAAGAGTAAACTGCCTCACGCTTCACACCGGTTAGTTCAGGACAAACAGTCGACATCATTGTGCATTTCTTGCGACCATCACCTTCATTACCGAACATTAAATTAAGAACTTTTGGACGACAGAGAGCTCAAACAAAGACAGCCATGTTAACAACAGGAACATCTTGCACATGGTGTAGTGGTGGAGAGACTCTAATATTTTATAAGCGCTATAAAAAAGGAACCAAAGTGAATTTTGATTTTGAATGTTTTTTATTTATCAGTAACATTCTATAAAGAAATACATTCACACTCACAGTATGATACAGGACCTTTTACATAGTCTGTTGCAAAAACAAGATATGTATAAGACAACTTATTGATCTATAGGTTGTTTTCTTTCCAGGAGCTGCTGATATCGAGCAGGAACTAAAACTGAACGGTGTGGATGAATTCCCAAAGTTTTAGTGATCTGTTCTGGGGCTTCTAGCAGGATGTAAAACCAACACAGGATGCTTAGTAAGAGGGGACACCATCACCCCGAGACAGAGAAGATACAAGCACAGAAAACTTGCAAATGTAAACAATATATAAACAACATATTCCACATCTATGTTTGCTTGTTCGTCCCATTGAATCCTGGGATGTTTCACCTTTCCTCACACTTTAAACAAAAGGAAATTAAAGTGCAGTTAATGGCTCTGGTCGTCCCTTTCGCTTTTCATTTTGGCTTTGATGGTTCGCCTGTTCACACTATAGATCCATCCACCAGTACACATGAACAAGATGTTTCTGAGTATGGCTGTCTCACTGAATGACAAATGAAAAGAAACAAAGCAAATAATAATTAAAAAAAAAAATGAGGCAAAAGTTTTTCCACAGAAGGCCCGATCGATAAAAGCAGGCAGTGATATGAGCGGAGACATGAAATGGAACATTAGCTCCAAACTTACCTTCAGCTAAACACATGACTTATATTTTAACCAGTTAATATATTTGTACAAAAATGTGTATGATTCATGTCTGCATGGATGACTTAGATGGGTCGCTCTCTCACTTGCTGCTCTAAGGCGGAATAACAGCAGCACAATGAGGCTTAACAAACATACAGCCCTTTAGGATTGTATGGATTTTATAAAAAAAGAAAACTAAAATCAAAATGTTTACCATTTTGATATCATCAGGACACTCATCAAGCATTCCTTTCAGCACAACAATTTACATTTACACTACTGAATGTGCCATCAGCCAGTTGTGTTCAACATAAGGAAAATAACACGGTTTAGAGTTGTGTCAGTTGGTGCTCATGAAAATCTGAACTGATCTACGTTATGTAAGAAATACGCTCCTAACATGAGGTACATCAGGGCAGAGTAACTTCAGGATTTTACCAGCCAACTTGCTTTCTAATAAAGGTTACCTGAAATGGTGGAGAATACAGTAACTCATTTGTTTAATTTACCTGCCAGCTGGTTTTAAAGTCGTTCCTTTAATCCAAACTTTGGGGAGCAGAGGAAAACAGAGCTGCTGCTAAGCTCCTCTTAACATTTTAATTCTTCAGGTAAATGTCATCTGTACGGAAGCCAAAAACAGCTGTGCTTGCTTTTCTTTTTGAGATAGCAAAGCTTGTTTTCTCATGATAATGGGATAAATTATGTTGATTCTTAAAACAACAAAAGTCAGATTTCTCAAGATAACAGGATAATTAATCACGAGACAACGACTTCTCCTGTGATCACGGGAAAATTCTGGAGAACAAGAAAATGAGTATCTAGAGATCACACCTGACTTCAGGCTTCAAGATCACTGTCATGAC